CGCCACGTGCTCGCTGGAGGGCGGTGCAAGGGGCCGAACCGGCACGATGTTCTTGCTGCCTCTTCCGGCTGCGGGGCGATTTGTCGTCCGACGTCTGGGAGCGCAGCGTTTCGGGGGCCTGGGTCTCGCCGCCGCAGACATGACCAAGGTGAGAGGCGGGGGCTCGCTCCCGGGCCGCCACGCGAGCACTGCCCGCGGGCGACTGGGGCTGCGGGGCGGGGCGGAGCCGCGGGGTCCGGGGCTTCTGCATCAAGGCGCAATAATCCGTTAAAGGGAAAAGTTCTCCCCTTGGAGATCGGCTTTGGCCAGGGCCGCGGCCGGGAGCTGCGGATGCCCCCGAGGATCCCCCAGCCGGCTGTTTCCAGAGAGTGAGCTCTCTTCCTTCCATTGCTTCGATGACTGCTAGGTTCTGAGCTCTCTGGGTGAGAGTCATAGCAGTAGGTGCCATTGACTGAGCCCTCTCCCTGTGCCGTGCGCTCGTTTCCCTCATCATTTTGTTTAGTCCTCACAGTCACCAAAGAAAGGCCAGTGGCAGCATACCTTAGACTGGAGGAAGCCCAAGTTCGGCGAGGTGAAAGGTCTCCTAAGTTCCCTGAGTCAACCTGTCCCAGGGCTTCACACTAGGACCCCCCCCCCTGCTGAAATGAGAAGTCTCAAAGTTGCCTGAAAGGGTTTCCGTGAAAATAAAAGAACTGTCTTCCAGAAGAAAAGCTTTCTACACCTGATTGAGCTCCAAGAATGTATGAAGAAGGACACTGTTCGGTGTGAAGGATCTGGAAAGGGGAATGGCTCAGTGGAAGGAGCACAAGCTTGGGAGTCATGCCGGAGGGCCAGAAAGAAGTGACTGCCCCTGGCGAGGAATGTTCTAGATGGAACTTGAGGTTAGGTCTCATGGGAGTATCACAAATGGCAGAGGGACCAGACGCCTGATGGGTCCAGTTTCCTATGCTGTGCCACGTCCTACCCAGATAGCAGAAGTGTCCTGTTCCCTGCTTGCTTCCATGGAATCCCCAGGGAATGAGCAGTCTTAGGAAATGAGAACCTGGCAAAGTTACCAATGTCATGGAGGGGTGTTTTTTTATTTTGTTTTGTTTTGTTTTGGGTGTGTGTGTGTGTGTGTAAAAGACAGAAAAGGCAATGTTTTGTCTAAGCTTGGGTTTTGTGGAAAGGGCTAAAGACTGGGAGAGAAGGCATCTAGGTTCTCTCAGTCCTGCTGCACTGTGGCTGGTGTTTTAGACCAGGTTTCAGTTTCCTTATCTGCCAAGTGAGAATAAGACTACATGTTCTTTCCACCTCACAGAGTTGCCATAAGGCAAACAAAACATTTATAAAGTCATAAATTGACATGCGAAAACAAATACTAAGCAGTACTAGGATTCCTTCTATATTTTGTGTATCTGGGCCCTAGGGCTTGTGAAGGAGATGAAGGGAGGTCCACCACTAAGTGCTTGGCAGGATGCTCTGCCTCTGCCCCACCCTGGGAAGTTGAATACTTCTCTCTCAGCTTATGAGTTGGCCAGGGTCCTTACTAGTAATGGCAGTTATAGTCATTGGCTTGACTGGAACAGCTTCCCAGATGATGAGATTTGCTTATGAGGGTTGTAGGGGAGGTTCTGTGGCTGGGCCTAGGAATTACTGGTATAAGACATATTAATAGGAGAAAAGCATACACGTTTTGATATTTTTACATGTACACACAAGTCTACAAAAGGAAAAGGAAGCTCTCAAGAGGCTGCTAGGCCCCAAAACTTATATTCCTTTTCAAAAAAAGACCAGTACCTTGTGGGGATGTGACAAGACAAAGAGATCTGCACTAGGGACAGTAAATCGTGGAACAGTGACAAGGAAACATACGGGTGAAACAAATGGAAAATAAGGGGGATATCAGTAGGTTTGTTTGTACAGGTCCATTTAGGCATCAACTCCTAGTCTCTGGTGATAAGAATGTTTTCTTCCTGGCATGGGGGGGCACTTTTCTCATGGGGATTTTTATGACCTGCTTTTAGGTAGCAAGGGGAAGTCAAAGAGTTCTGTATCTCCTCTTTGTCAAGTGCCTGCAGCTCAAAATAACCAGTGGGCCAAAGTGGCATATTTTGGGGTGGTATGTTCTGAGTCCCTTCAGGATCTAAACTTGGTGACAAATGAGTTTCTTTTTCTTTTTTTTTTTTTTTTTGAGTGCAGTGGCATGCTCAGGACTACCGCAGCCTTGCCCTGCTGGGCGCAGGCGATCCTTCTGCCTCAGCCTTCCAAGGAACTGGAACTACAGGCACATGCCACCATGCCTGGCTAATTTTTATTTATTGGTAGAGATGAGCCAAGTTGCCCAGGCTGGTCTCTAACCTATGGGCTCACGCAGTCCTCTCATCTCAACCTCCTAAAGTGCTGGTGTTATAGGCATTAGCTACTATGCCTGTCCTGAGTTTGTTTCTTAAACGAAATACCTTTTTGCTTTATTTGAAAGTGAAGCCATTTCCTGGTAGGGACTATGAAAACACAGGTAGCAATGACAGCTCTGCTTTGGCAGGAATCTGAGACACTTAGGTATACATGTAGATGACTGCCCAGCACCTACTTCTTCTTTGGCTTTGTTCTTCTATCCTTGAAAAGGACCCAGTTGTGGTGGAATTATTTGCTCCTTTGTGAATTTGAGCCCTTCTAAGGGATCTACTCTAATTGTATTCATCTTTTTTGCTTATTCCCAGGGCCTTGTATTAGGAATCTATTCCAAAGATAAAGAAGAAGATGTGCCACAGTTTACAAGTGCAGGAGAGAATTTTGATAAATCAGTAGCTGGAAAGCTGAGAGAAGTTTTGAATGTGTAAGTTTTTCTTGTGGGTTCTAGTTCTTAAAGCACCTCCAAATCTAAAGAGAATATTTTTCTTATTCAATATAGCCATATAGTCAATATAGCCTTATTGTCAGTAGAGAAAATGCCCGGAAGTACCTTGGTCAAAATCAGAAGTGAAAGTATGTGTCTCTGGAATGTACTTTGTTATTCTGTACTCTGGGTGGGTCTGCAGTTCTGGGAAGTCAGACCATTTCCAGCTCAATCACAAGTCTGTTGTGAAGGACTGACCCAGAAGGATCTAGAAAGTTCCAGATTTCTTCAGGCCCCCCCCACCCCCACCCCCCAGCTCAAATTTACTTTTCCTGCCTTCCTGTCTGCCAGCCTTCCCTTCCCTCCAGCCTCTTTACCTCCTTTAACTCCTTTCTCTTTATGGGAGACAATAGGTCTCTAGAATAGTTAGAAACAGCTAGAAACTTCTGCTCTTTTATTGCATGCCTCAAGTTTCAAAGACTTCTCAAATTTTAAAGTGCAAGTGAATCATCTGAGTATATAGTTATTATGTAGATTCTAATTCAATAAGTCTCAGTGAGACCTCAGATCCCAAGTAGAGAAACATTGGAGCAACAGGCCACATTTGGCAGATATAGAAGTGACAGTATTAAGCCACTGCAATTATGTATTATTTAGATTACAGGCAACCTATTAGAATCTAATAGATGCAGTCTAATACTTATAGTAACTATCTAATCATTAGATAGCAAACTGCATCCTCTTACTGATTAGTTCTTTACCAGTAGACAGCCTTCTCAAGCACCTTGGTTAATTTATTAATCCAAAAAGTAACCTGTAAGAGTTCAGGACACCCTGGCCTTCCTAACCCATGATCGGTGTGGCTGCAGCCCAGAGCATATGTGCTCCACATTTGGCTACAGTCATGGATTTGTTTTGTTTGAAAATTGCCCAGGATCTCCATCTGTAGAAAAGTCCCAAAGACAGCCTCTAAGTCAAACACATTGCCGCCAGGTCAGCCACTTAGGTTAAGTAAATTTCTGTTAGATCTAATCTGAAAGTTTGCCACTAGTTTTTGAACGAGAATTAGAAGGGGCACATCTAAGAAATCTGGCCTGAGGGCATTCTGTATTTGAGTAAAAACATAAATGAAGCAAATCCACAGAAGCAATTAGAATATTGTGATAGTGCTAAAAGTATGTATATGTCACTTCCCAAGTGAGCAAACTGTAATTTTCACAACAATTTTCTCTTGTTTTAGATCTGGACCACCTCTGAAGGCAGGCAAGACCCGAACCTTTTATGGTCTACATCAGGTATAAGATGAAGTGATGTCCATTCTGTAAACTCTCAGTGAGCACCTACTGTATGCCAAGTACTGTGGCTGGCTGCCTTGTCGAACTAAAAATTTTGTCTTGAATTGTGTAGTTTTATTCCAGTATTAAGCAGAAGTATTTAAGATGGTAAAGAGCTGTCAACAAGTACTGTATATCTTATATTTTTTGAACTAAAGGGTTTCTTTCTCCAGTTGTGGCACTGTCTTACATAGAATTATTTGTAGGACTATCCTCACTGTATCTTTCAAACATACAAGTTATAAAATTTTGCCACAATTTAAGACACAAGAGCTTAAAGAAAAAAACCACAACAAAATTCACAGTGAGTTTAGCCCTGTGCTGTGGTTGAAGTAATTGTATATGAGCTCAGTGAGTCTCCCCACATGTACCATTCCCTGCTGGGAATGAACGTTTGGAAGAAAGAAATGGTTGATTTGGTGTCTTTGTTGGACAGGACTTCCCCAGCGTGGTGGTAGTCGGCCTTGGCAAAAAGGCAGCTGGAGTCGATGACCAGGAAAACTGGCATGAAGGCAAAGAAAACATCAGAGCTGCTGTTGCAGGTTATTTTCCTTTTTAAGTTTAATATTGAGAAGAATTTGAACATCTGCTTTTGGAAAATTATCTCTCTTCCCCTGTTTGTCCTCTTACCATCACCACCCGTACCATGGTCACACAGAAATAACTCATCTTAACAAAAATTCCATTTCCTTTACTGATTATACTTGGCCTTATTATAGATACAGAAGGTTACTTATAGAATTTATTGTTGGTATTTCTACATCTTGTTTCTGGAGGTTTTACTATTATTTGTTCTCTCTTGTAGTATTGACCTTAGAGCTGTATTTACCAGAAATTGTGGTATATGGATTTTTTCCTTTTTTTTACTACAACCCTTTGTATTTCCCAGAATACAAATCAGAGGATACGGAGGCAAGGTCTGGTGTGCTTGTTTATCAGTAGTCAAAGGTGTGTGGCTGTCCCAGTGTGTCCTGGACAGATGCCATTGAGTCACTTGAGAGCTGAGCAACAGGACAGGCTTTTCCCGTGGAGAGACTGGTTAAAAGATGCTTTGGAAACTTTTCTGAAACATTGATAATTGGCTTCATTAATCTTTGGCCCTGTGTATATCATAAGTGCTTGTTAAATTTGCTTTCAAAGTTCATTTAAGTGGTTATTCCATAACTCTTATTTGGGAATTTTTGCTGACCTGATCTTAATAAAATGCTGTGTTAATAATGGACTTTGCAGCTGGGCTTGGTGGCTCAGCCTGTAATCCCGCACCTTTGTGAGGCTGAGGTGAGTGGATTGCCTGAGCCCGCGGGTTTGAGACCCGCCCGGGCAGGCGAGACCTCATCTCTACAATAAATAAAAAATCAGCCGGGCGTGGTAGCGCGCGCCTGTAATTCCGGCTACTCAGAAGGCTGAGGCGGAAGGATCGCCGGAGCCCAGCAGGTCGAGGCTGCGGTGGCCGGGAGTGGCCACTGCACTCCAGTCTGGGCAACAGAGTGAGACTTCAACTCAAAAAAAACCAAAAAAAAACCCCAAAATAATGGACTTTGCTCAGTTCCTTGGATGTAATTTCAACATCATCATTTTTAATCTGAGAAGCTCTTGGTGGCTGGGAAGCTTCATAAGGAAATCACAGTTTTTCACAGGTAATTCTAAGAATCACTGCCACTTACTGAGGGGCCGTCCTGCTCTGAGAGGAGCTGTTCAATTTCTTCGTCTGTCCTTGCCACCACCTGGGGGGTGCATTCACGTCCTCATTTTACAGGAGAGGAAACATAAGCTTAGAACAGTCAGGTTCAGGGCTAGGATCTGAACCCCAGTCCTGTTTTCTCAGCACGCTTCACTGTGCCTCTGCTTTCTGCTATTTGAGCTGTCTGTGACTGACTCCAATTTTCTGGTTCTTCTGTCCTTTCAAAGCGGGGTGCAGGCAGGTTCAAGACCTGGAACTGTCTTCCGTGGAGGTGGATCCCTGTGGAGACGCTCAGGCCGCTGCAGAAGGAGCAGTGCTTGGTCTCTATGAATATGATGACCTAAAGCAGAAAAAGAAGACAGTCGTGTCAGCAAAGCTCTATGGAAGGTGATGGAAGGAAACCAGGAGGAGGGTGGTGCTCCTGGCTCTCATTATGTGCCTGTTTCCACCATAACTCCCTAGACCCATCCATGTTTGCTAGTTACTAGGAAGTCATGACCTGAGAGGGAGGAACAACGTGACAGACAAGTCCCCACAAGTTTCAATCCAGACAATTTTCATTTAACCAGAACCTACTGGCCTAAATGTTAGTGCTACACAGATGGAGGTATGCTATGGATACTAAAGGTCCTTGCCCTCATGGTCTAGGGTAGACTTGTCTCAGCAAATCTTTGGGCACCTATTATGTGATAGCACTATGCTAGGTTCTGGGCAACAGGGACCCTGCCATGAGCAGTGGACAGGATGAGACCTGCAATAGGCAGTGCTGAGTGCAGTGGGAGCCTTTGGCATAGCCCAGTGGCTGGCAGCTGTGAGTCGTGGTGGAGAGCGAGGGCACTAGAACCAGTTAGCCTGGGCTGGAGTCCTGGCTCTACCGCTTACTTGCTGGGTGGCCTTGGTTAAGTGACTAAAAGCTCTCTGTGCTTCACTTTCCTTTTTTTTTTTTTTTTTAGTCAAATTGTAATATCAGTCTCATGGGGTTTTTACTGATCTTCCAAAGACAGAACATGCCAAACGGGTAGCATGTGGTAGACACTCTAAGCTATCAGCTGTTATTTATCTACCTCCATGCCACCCTAAAAAGAGCTAGGGTTGTAAATCACGTGCTCATATCCTTTCTCTTCTAAAGCTGATCCTGCTGGGTGTGGTGCCTCACTCCTCTGCTCCCATCACTTTGGGAGGCAGAGGCGAGAGGATTATCTGAGCCCAGGAATTCGAGACTATTCTGAGCAACTTGGTGAGACCTAGTCTCTACAATAAATAAATAAATTAGCTGAGGGTGGTGGCGCATGCCTGTAGTTCTAGCTACTTGGAAGGCTGAGGTGGAAGGATGGCCTGAACCCAGGAGGTTGAAGCTGTGGTGAGTTAAAATGTGCCACTGCACTCCAGCCTGGGCAACAGAATGAGACTGATTCAAAAAAAAGAAAAAAAAAAACTGCTCCTTGCTCCCTAGAGCTTAGAGCCTTGACCCAGGCAAAAGAAGGCAGAAAGGCCTTCAGTTTCACACCAGAATTGTTAGCGCTAAGGGGCTCATTGTTCCTGATGCAGTGAAGGAGAACAAAATGGGCCTTTCTGTCTCTTGCTGACACCAGGGACCTCTTCCCTCAATTTGTATTGTAGATTTAGAGTTTCAGAGACCTGTTAGGTCTATAGCCATATTACCTGAATGTGCCCAGCCATTGTATCTGATCTCAGAAGCTAAGCAGGGTTGGGCCTGGTAAGTCGATAGAAGACTGCTTGGAAATACCAAGTGCTGTAGGCTTAAAAAATATATATCCAGCAGCCCTCTTTCAGATCCCCTCCCGCTTGGGAGCTTTTTTGTCTTCTTAATAAACTCCTGCTTTCTCACCTCTAAAAAAAAAAATACCCGCCGGGCTCGGTGGCTCAGCCTGTAATCCTGCGCCTTTGGGAGGCTGAGGTGAGTGGATTGCCTGAGCCCGCGGGTTCGAGACCCGCCTGGGCAGCAAGACCTCATCTCTACAATAAATCCAAAAATCAGCCGGGTATGGTAGTGCATGCCTGTAATTCCGGCTACTCGGAAGGCTGAGGCGGAAGGATCGCCGGAGCCCAGCAGGTCGAGGCTGCGGTGGCCGGGAGTGGCCACTGCACTCCAGTCCGGGCGACAGAATGAGACTCCAACTCAAAAAAAAAAAAAATACCCATCAGTGCACCCCCTTTTATGTAGGTGAGGATTCTGAAGGAAGGTGCTTGATCAGGTCTCCTCTGGTTCTGCTCCACAGGGGCCATGTTTTTACCTGTGTACCACATTTTCTGCTGCCCTGAGTTCGATCACAAAAAATTAACCCAGATCTTGTGTGTCAGTCATTTTTCATTTGTAGTCTTCCTCTTTTGTTTTCTGTAAGATAACAGCCTGTCCTAGCTGCAAGATGGTCAGTGTTCTTGAGAAGTGTGACAGTAACTTTGTGCCTGCTTCTGCCAGTGGGGATCAGGAGGCCTGGCAGAAAGGAGTTCTCTTTGCTTCGGGGCAGAACTTGGCACGCCAATTGATGGAGACGCCAGCCAATGAGATGACACCAACCAGATTTGCTGAAATTATTGAGAAGAATCTCAAAGGTGCTAGTAGTAAGACAGCGGTCCATATCAGGTAATTCAAGATTATGTCATAGACTCAGGATGTTATAGCTAGAAAGAACCTTTCAGATCCTAAAATCCAGCTCTCTTAGTATTCAGAGGAGTAACTTGGGACCAGAGAGGTGAGATGACGCACCAGAGGCTACACAAGAGCTGGGATAGGGCTCCGTTTTGAGGATCTTTCTAGCTTACCTTTCTTTGCCTTTGAGGGAGTGCCATAGCTTCACACTACATACTGTGTGTGTATGTGTGTGTTGTAACAGCCTTATTGTGACATAATTCACATATCCTACATTCACCCATATAAAGTATGCGATTTAGTGATTGTTAGTACGTTCACAGAGTTGTGCTACCAGGACCACAATCAATCTTAGAACATTTTCATCACCCCTAAAAGAAACCCTGTACCCATTTGCGGTGACTCCCTGCTTCCCCATGGATATTTGGATTATTTTCCTACCTTTTGGATACTATGAATAATGCATCTGTGAGTATTTGTGTACAGGTGTTTGTGTGGACATACTTTTGTTTCTTTTGATTATATGTCTAGGAGTTGAGTTGCTGAATCAAATGGTAACTCTGTTTAACTTTTGAAGAAAAGTACATGTTTTGTTTTGGTGAATTCTTCCTATCTTTTTGCTTTTTGAAGCAAGTGAAGAAGGCAGCATGTCTAACTAGGCATGGAATGAGAATTTCTGCCTCGTGAATTCCCTTAACTAGATTCCAGCATCGGTGCACCCAGCAGTCCCAAGTGTGCCGGCAGCGGGAGGCTGGTGGCCCTGAAGGCTGCCCTTCCAGTTCCATGACCCTCTTGGGGTCTCCCCACAACCCTTGAAGCAAACCAGGTCTGAACACTTGGGGATTTATGATTAAAACAAATTGACAGGTATTTGTTTTACATAAAGAATTCTGGCCGGACTCGGTGGCTCAGCCTGTTATCCCGCGCCTTGGGAGGCTGAGGTGAGTGGATCGCCTGAGCCCGCGGGTTCGAGACTCGCCTGGGCAACTTGGTGAGACCTCATCTCTACAATAAATCAAAAAACTAGCTGGGTGTGGTAGTGCGTGCCTGTAGTTCCAGCTACTTGGAAGGCTGAGGTGGAAGGATCGCTAGAGCCCAGCAGGTCGATGCCGGCCACCGCACTTCAGTCTGGGTGACAGAGTGAGACTCCAACTAAAAAAAAAAAAAGAATTCTGTAGTATCGAAGCTGTTTCTCAAGGGAACTTCCATTTAAAGTAAGCATTCTTTTAGTATTGTGATCAGAGTTCCTGTTTTTCAGGAAAGCACCTATGGTTTAGATAGTGAAGAAAAATTTGTAATCTGTAGAAGCTACAGTACTTAGAGCTTGACAAAATTTCTAGAATGGTTAGTATGGTTTAATCTGTGGCAATGTTTAGGCTCTGTAAAGGTGTCCTGGCAGAGACTGTTCCTTATTTTGTTTGAGGAGACACCTGAGCTACTTTGTGTTAGCAAATAGTGGCCATGACAGCATCTGTGGCATGCCTGGGAGTTTGGCATACCAAGATGCATGATGGTGGTCCTTGTCCTCAAAGAAGTGAGGATCTTGTAGGAAAGAATAGGTAGGTACTTGAGGAATGCAGAGGGTGCTACAGAGGATGAGGGGGATTGCCAGGGAATATGGAGCCTAAGCAGATCCTGGAGGTTGCCTAGAAGTAACCAGAGAGAGAGGTAGGGCATTTCAGGTGAGGAAGCAGATGCAGAGTGGCCCTTTGGGAAGTTGCAAGGCCTGTGAGAGGCTTGCGAGAAAGTTGCAAAAGAGTTCAGCAGAAGGCCAGGCATGGTGGCTCACAGGTATAATCCCAGCACTTTGGGAGGCTGAGGTGAGAGAACTGCCTGAGCCCATGGGTTCAAGACCAGCCTGGGCAACTTGGTGAGACTTCATCTCTACACCTGGTTCTAATAATAAAATTAGCTGGTCATGGTGGCACGTGCCTATAGTTCCAGCTACTTAGAAGGCTGAGACAGAAGGATCGCCTGAGCCCAGCAGATTGTGTCTGTGGTGGCCTTGAGCATGCTACTGCACTCCAGCCTGGGTGACAGAGTGAGACTCCGACTCCAAAAAAAAAAAAAAAGAGTTCAGCAGAGACCAGGCAGGACATGTGAGTGGCATATGGCTGCACCAAACCGTCTCCAGTGTAGGTGGGTATACATCAAAGAAATACAGACAGATCCTTCTTACAGAAGGGCAGGACTTCAATCAAACTCAAGTACTGAATTTGTGACTAAAAATGCCCACATTGTACAGCCTTGTTTCTTTTGAAGTGATTTTTAAAAATTGTCCTATCTTCCATTTTTATATTCTTTTTCCTTTGAAGTTTGGTGGCCATTCCTCCATGGTGTAGTCCTAGTTTAATAGTTTTAACAGACAGATAGGCAGATGCAGGAGTATTCCTTGGCTGTAGTTGTGGGTCTGTGGGAGTATAGGATTCCCTCTTGGCCTAGTTACTGTGGGCAGAAATCAATACAAAGCCCTTTGTGCCCCCAGCCTAGAAAGGATAGCAATATGGCATCAGTTTTCTAGTTTGCATAAAGACATTTCCATTCTATTAACCCCACTGATCCTGTGTTAAAGTAAGGCCTAATTAGTTTCCCCACTTCAAAGACATCTTAAACTGTGATTGAAACTGTGAGAAATAGTGTGACAACACTGAAAAGAGAGAATTCCAGCAATTCTAAAAAAGCAAAGAAATTTTATTCCAGTCAGTGGAATATAGCTTTGCTGTTTTTTTGCTTGTTGACTTTTTTTTATCATTTTTAGAAATAGCAAAAATAAAGCAATGGACCCCTTAATCATCTTTAAGCATCCTTTAGGGTCTCAGAGTCTGACTAATTTCATCTGTAAAACTTCAGAAATATCTGAGTAGATTGGGGGGAAAAAACCAAGTAATTGTTTACTGACTGTACACTATTACTTGGCATCGTATTAAGTACCATACGTGAACCTCTTAGTTATTCTGTGATCTTTAGATGGAGGAATTATTGACCTCATTTTTATAGATGAGAAAATAGGCTCAGAATCGAACGACTTCCCCAGAATTTTATACAGAAAACAAATAATAGGACTTAATAATTGAAACCTTGTTTGTATATTATGCTTTTTTTGTATGCTGATGAGCTTTTTAAATAAGTATTCTGAAATAAAGGTAACAGTATATTTACTTTTTTCCCCTTCCTGTCCTACAGACCCAAGTCTTGGATTGAGGAGCAGGAAATGGGATCATTCCTAAGTGTGGCCAAAGGATCGGATGAGCCCCCAATCTTCTTGGAAATTCACTACACAGGCAGCCCCAATGCAAATGAACCGCCCCTGGTGTTTGTTGGGAAGGGAATTACCTTTGACAGGTACTTTATGGTGCTTAGTATTTTGGTGAATGTTTTGTATACACTTTTTATTTGGTGTGTAATTTGATTCAGAAGCATTGTGTTTGGTCAAATATTACGTATTAACTTTAAATTTACTAAGCTACTACCTATAAAATGCCTACTATGTATCAGAGACCATTAGGCATTTTACATATGGTAGCACAGAGGTATGACTAATACCTCTGTGAGCTAGGTATTGTGAACATTATACAGATAAGGAAACCATGACTCTGAGAGGTTAAATAATTTGTTCAGAGTCCCATAACTAATGAGTAGGAAGTTAAACTCAGTTTTGTCTGGAAAGTGGATAGAAGGGAAATGTCCTATGCACCAGTGTGCCCCCTCTGCCCATGTCTTTTTCTTGTTTTGAATCAGTGGATCATCTTTGATTCTAGGCCTACATGCCAGCCATCTAATTACCAGGGTTTCCAAGGTAAGCGAGGATCAGGGCCTGATTTCTAAGGAAAGCAGACCTCAGCAGGGAATAGATGTCTCTCCTTTGAGCCACCAGGGTATGTCAGCAGCAGAGTTCCATTAGAACTCGGAGTTGAAGCCCCTGGCTCTGCCTGCCCTGTGACACATGTTACTTCTGGACTCTTTGGACTGGAAGCAGAAGAGACACTAGTTAGTCAGAAACCTCTTTAGGGGTAGTGGTGTGGCTTCTTGCTGATCACTAAATAAAGCCTTACTTAGCTCTTGTGTCATAGCGCTGTCCCCAAGGATTTGTGCCTGTGCCTCATTCAGGTTGTATTTTGCCATCAGCAGGATGTAGCACACCTTGTATGGTGTCAGAAGGACATGTTACCCCTCTGTCCTTTTGTGGGTTTGAAAGGAATGCTCTCCGTCTTCTATGAGTCTGTCACCTTTCCTTAACAGCTCATGGCTCAGGTTCCATAAGTTGATCAATTAATAACATTTGCTGAAAAGACCATCTCTGTGGGTATCGGGAGTTAATGAGATAACGCAGAGCTGGAATTTGTGCATTAATTTTATTATGTCATAATATTTCCAGTGGCACTGCTGAAATTTCTTTCAAATAAACCGAGCTAAGACACCCACCTCTATTTCTGTAATTATTTTGTATCTTTTATAAGGACTACAATGTCATCATTGAAAGTGTTGAAATCAGATTCTACATTTAGAAATTTGAGTTTTCTTTGCCAGTTATATGGTGGGGTTTAGGTGGTAGTTAACCCTCACTTTATGTATTCTTCTTTAAGATGATTTTGGCCATCTTCTTTGCCATTAATATTATACATTGTTCTTTTCTCCTGTAGTGGTGGTATCTCCATCAAGCCTTCTGCAAATATGGACCTCATGAGGGCTGACATGGGGGGAGCTGCAACTATATGTTCTGCCATTGTGTCTGCTGCAAAACTCAATTTACCCATTAATATCATAGGTAAGTGGGGAAAGGGATTATATCTTGGAGAACTTCTGGGATCCAGTCACATGCTGGAACTGAGACAGTAGACATGGTTTTCCCTAATATGAAAAGATTAAGAAGTGGTTTTTAAATAGCTTTTCTTTTTTCTTTTTTGAGTTGGAGTCTCACTCTGTCGCCCAGACTGGAGTGCAGTGGCCGCTCCCGGCCACCGCAGCCTTGACCTGCTGGGCTCCGGCGATCCTTCCACCTCAGCCTTCCGAGTAGCTGGAACTACAGGTGAGCGCTACCACGCCCGGCTGATTTTTTGATTTATTGTAGAGATGAGGTCTCGCTGCCCAGGTGGGTCTCGAACCCGCGGGCTCAGGCAATCCACTCACCTCAGCCTCCCAAAGGCGCGGGATTACAGGCTGAGCCACCGAGCCGACCTAAATAGCTTTTCATCAAGCCGGCAGCTATTTAGCTCAGATAAGTGTTTCCCTATCTGAGCTGATTGAGTTAAATGTGTTTTGCAAGCAGTTGACTGTAACTAGAATTGATTTGTTTTACATCTGCAAAAAGTGGTTAGCAGTCAGGGTCACATAATGTCAAGTTTGTGGTTTACTCTAGTAAAAACTGCTCAGTAGTTGAGGTGGAAGGATGTTGCTGGTTCATTTACTGATCGCCTTATAGGATTGTGGCTGATTAAATGACATGATACACAGAAAGTGCCTGGGACAAAAAAGTGCTCGGCACATGGCAGCTCTTAGTATTGTAGGGTTATTATATTATTACAGACACAGTGCTGGGAGTTGGTAGCACTGCTTATATATACCGATGCTTCAGAGGACGGGAGAGAGGGGAAGAGACTTAGGTTAAATGACATGCCCAGTGTCACACATTGCACAGGGAAGGCAGAAGTGGAATCAGGTCTGTCTGATGTGCCCCTTCCTTCAATAACCTAGTGCTTTTTTTTCTCAACTATCTGAAAGCAAGTTGCAGGCATCATGACATGCCTGCATTCTATATAATGACATTCTATATAATGACAATATCATTATCTTTTCCAAGGATTAGTATAGTAACCTAATTCAGATTTCCCAATTGTATAAAAAAATGTTCATTTTATTTATTTATATGTAGTTTTTAATTCTAGGAGCTAATCAAGAGTTATACATCGTCTTTGGTTATCATGTTCCTTTAAACTTGGTTGTCATGTTCTAGATTTCTTTAATCTAGAACCCTATAACCGCCCTTTTTCCTTTGGTAATATTGGCAGTTTTGAAGGGTCTAGGCTTGTCTCATGATGTTCCACAATTCAGGTTTATATGATTGTTTCTTCTTGATTAGAATCAAGTTAGACTTCTTTGGTGAGAATGCTATGTGGGTGATATGTATTTCCTGTTGCAGACACACATAATGGCAGTTGTGTCATTGGTAATGTTAAATTTGATCACTTGGTTAAGGTAGTGTCTGTCTGGCTTGCATCTGATGGTTCACCAGTGGTCTTCCTGTTCCATGGGTGGTATTTGGACCTAGCATGTTCCATGTTCCTTCATATGTTCTTTCCAATAGGTTTGGCCCCTCTTTGTGAAAATATGCCTAGCGGCAAGGCCAACAAGCCAGGGGATGTTGTTAGAGCCAAGAACGGGAAGACCATACAGGTTTGTAAGTGGAAGACCCAGCACTTCCCCTGTCTGGTGTTTCTCAGGAGTCCCATGGTAGCCATGTAAAAACCATGGCTTGAATGGGCATACAGCCCTGGCTCCATGGGGGGAGAGGTTGGTGTCTTTAGTGCTGAGTAGCTTCTTCTGCAAAGGCATAAGTATCTTCCTGAGAAATTTACTTATTGCCTTACTGTTCCTCCTCCTCATATGTTAAACACACAAATTACCACAGACTTGCAGCCAGCCCTGCAGTGCTTGGCAAAGCATTTTCTAAATGTACCTGTGCTGTGAGAAACTTTTTCCAGGAAAACACTGCCCTACATCATGGGCCCTGCATTCTTGGAGTTATGGCAGCAAGCCGTCTGTGTGGCACATGCATGTCCTTAATGATTGGGCCTCTATTAAAAAGAAAGGAGTATACTTAGTTAGAAAGTTGCAGGAGTTTTTATATCTGGGATCTAGGCTGCTATTTAGCTGTAGTTTTCTTAAACTCTAGCCTATTTGTTTTCAGGAATCTTTACATTTCCCCCCTTCTTTTTCTACATTTCTTAGTAAAATGGAGCAGACTTTTTAAAATTTAATTCAGCTTCCAAACTCATCATCCTTGAGTCATCAACTCTGATGCAGGGATTACTAAATTATACTTGCTCTCCAGATTAGATAGGTTTCTGTTCTCATTGAAGTTTAATTAAGTATGTTTGATACTTGATGACAGTAGTTTTTTTCAACCTTTTCTTGTATGTTTTTGAGACAGTATCTCACTCTGTTGCCCAGGCTGGAGTGCAGTGGCATGATCATGGCTCGCTGCAGCCTCAACCTTCTGGGCTTAGGCAATACTTCCACCTCAGCCTCCCGAGTAGCTGGAACTACTGGCGTGTGCCATCACACCTGTCTGATTTTTTTTTTTTTTTTTAATAAATACGAGGTCTTGCTATGTTGCCCAGGCTGGCCTTAAACTCTGGGACTCAAGCAGTTCTCCTGCCTCAGTGTCCCAAAGTACTGGATTTACAAGTGTGAGCCACTGTACCCAGCCCCACTTTTTAATCAGACACAGTTGTACATGTCTCATTTTCATACTCATCACTTCTGCTGTTTTACCCTTTCTGTTTTGACACCCCTGCAGGTTGATAACACTGATGCTGAGGGGAGGCTCATCTTGGCCGATGCACTCTGTTATGCACACACCTTTAACCCAAAGGTCATCATCAATGCTGCCACCTTGACAGGTCAGACCATGGTTTCCCTGATTTTGGTCAAAGGAAGTCTTGCTTGTTGCATAGCGTGCACACTTTACTTGGGCCGCTATTTTGCTAAATTTGGCTCGCTCCATTGGCATTCAGAGATCTTTCACCAGAGCAATTTTTTTGCGGTTGTAAAATGTTTTGAATATTAGATTTGTTGTTTATTAAACTTCCCAGGCTGTACCTTTAAAAAAAAGAAATAACAAGTGGACCAGATTAGCCCATCTAATCTAGAGTGGCATCCAAAGATAACGTCGAGATATTTTCTGTTAAAATTATTATTTGATGTAACTCTGAAAAGATTAATGATAAATCCCCACATTAATAGCTTCTTCTTTTTTTTGGCTAATTGTAATATATCTGATGATTTGATTTCCACTGAGTTTTCTGAAGTTGTTTTTTGTTTTTTAAATCATTTTAAGAGCTGTGGTTCCAGTTGGAGCACGTTAAATATTTATGTCTGTCATTGTCTTTACTTTTAAAAGAAGATACCATGTTCTTGTTTGAGATTAGTGTTCATTTTTCTATGAGAAATTTAAAAATGGATGCAAGACTCTTGTGGGGTTGATTGAAATATTTTGAGGACAAGTGAATAAGTATCTAAAAAAAAACTTGAAAGATAAAGTATTAATAAGTGTGTATACAGTTGTTTCTCAAGATCCATAGGGGATTGGTTCCCGGATCCACCCCCATCACATACCTAATTCATGGATACTCACATCCTTTTATATAAAATGTTACAGTATTTGCCTATAACTTACATAGATACTCTTACAGACTCAAAATCATCTCTGAATCATTACGATACCAGATACTATGTAAATGAAAATAGTTGTTCTACTGTACTATTTGGGGACTAATGACAAGGAAAAATGACTATATATATGCAGTACAGATACAACCCATCTTTTTTTTTTTGAGTTGGAGTCTCACTCTGTCACCCAGACTGGAGTGCAGTGGCACGCTTATGGCCACCACAGCCTCGACCTGCTGGGTTCAGGCAACCCTTCTGCCTCAGCCTCCCAAGTAGCTGGAACTACAGGTGCATGTCACCACGCCTGGCTAGTTTTTGTGATTTATTGTTGAGATGAGGTCTCACCAAGTTGCCAGACTGGTCCCAAACCCCCCAGGCTTAGGCAGTCCTCTCACCTCGGTCTCCCAAAGTGCTGGTATTACAGGCTGAGCCACCGTGCCCTGCCTTTTTTTCCCCCAAATATTTTCTGTCTGCAATTGGTTGAATCCATGCATGAGAATCTGTGGGTATGGAGGGCCAACCGTATGTAGTAGTATCTTCAAGTTTCCATTTTCCTTGGGGGAGATGCTAACGCTTAGTTTCATGCAAAGCCACAGTTAAGGATTAAGGAGCAACCTGGACATGCTTTGCATTACAGGGAGCAAATGCCACTGTGAAGACTATAACATTTCTTCCAACACCAGTGCCATCTCCTCTGACATCCCATGTGCATGTCCTAGTACTGGTGGTGGATTCAGTGGGTTGTTCCCTTATGTTCGATATGCTCATCCTAGTACTGAAGGATAGTAAGATTTTCTTTTTCCATTCAATATGTATTTACTGAGCTCCTTTCTGCAAGGCAGTATGGTAGGCCCTGAGAATATACCCTGACCCAGTGTTTACAGGCAAGGCCAGGCAAACAAATGAGACTGCTGGAAATGAGTACCACAGCTAAAGAAGGCAGCACGAGGCTGCAACCTGATTGTATACTCAAGACAACCTGCAAATCTGGTTGATTTTTTAAAAAATATGCTACTTAATTGGAAAGAGGAGTTGGCCAATGAGATACAACTTTGTTGGAGAAGGAAATAAAGGTGAAACAAACAAATATGATTCAATAACAGACTTTTTTTTTTGAATCAGAGTGTTACTCTGTTGCCCTGGTAGGAGTGCAGTGGCATGATCATGGCTCACCATAGCCTCCAACTCCTAGACTTCGGTGATCTCTGCCTCAGATTCCCGAGTAGCTGGGACTACAGGCACATACCACCAAGACTGGCTAATTTTAAAATTTTTTATAGAGATATGAGGTCTTGTTATGTTTTCTAGGTTGGTCTCAAACTCCTGGGCTCAAATAATCTTACCTTGGCCTCCCAAAGTGCTGGGATTAAGGCATGAGCCATCACGCCAAGCCTATAACAGATACTTTTTTAAAAAGGCATTAAAGTCTTACAGTAGATACTTACTGAAATGTGTTTAACATTGCTGAAAAGTTAGAGATGCTTCAGTGCTAGTATGTAAATTGTTATACCTTTATCCAGTGTACTGTTTTAAAATAAAAAATGCTTTCCAACATTTATTTACAAAAGAGGAATAAATTTTTAAAGCATAAAAATAACACATTTTTAACACATAGAGTGTGGTCTTAGTTATTTTTTAAATAATTTAGAAATCAAGGCTGGTCTCGGTGGCTGAGCCAGTAATCCCAGCACTTTGCAAGGCACAGGCAAGTGGATTGCCTGAGCCCATGGGTTTGAGACCAGCCCAGGCAACTTGGTGAGACTTCATCCCTACAATATAGCTGGATGTGGTAGTGTGCGCCTGGAGCCCAGCAGGCCGATGCTGGGGTGGCCGTGAGGGTGCCACTGCACTCCAGCCTGAGCGACACAGTGAGACTCCAACGCAAAAAAAACCCAACTTTACAAATCTGAAAGGAAATACCAAAAATAGGTAACAGTTGTCCCTGAGATGAGATTATTGATGATGTTTGATAGCATCCTTTTTTGCATTTCCTTAATTTAAGATGATTTTAGTTTGAGAAATATAAAGATATATTAAATACATAAAGATTTTATAAGCTTATCTGTTTTTGAAAATGAAGAAGATAAAGAGGCTTAAAGTTTTGATTTGATGCCTATAGAGACTGCACTTGACCTGAGGGCTTGTGTCTTACAGGTGCCATGGACATAGCTTTGGGGTCAGGTGCGACCGGGGTCTTCACCAATTCATCCTGGCTCTGGAACAAACTGTTTGAGGTTAGGAAAACTACACACAGATCTAAATTATAGAGATGTGAATCAATTCCTCCAGCCTTAGAATGATAGATTTCTTCAGCCTCTTTGTTAAACTGATTTTTATGCTATGTGTTTGCCTGTGAATTGAAAATGAACCATAGCAATGAACTTGATTTAGTGGCTTTGGGTTTTCTACAGATGCCCCTAAGGGATGGGTATGATGCCACCTTACTCTCTTCCAGTTGCCTCATGAGGTAAAATGAGGTGAACATGCCTTATGAATAACATGGCCATAGTAGAATCCCTGAGGTAGCAAAGGGTATGCGGACAGCTTTGTGGAAAAGGAGTGGCCTTTTAGTGACTGATGCTGTGAGATGAATATATGAGCCGTGTAAGGAAGCTCGCCGCATGCAGACAAGGGCGTCTTCTAAGTATCGTGTCTTTGCCTCCTTTTGCAACCTTTGCAGCCTGCCTCTTCCCAGCAGTCATCTCCCATATTGCCACCACCACCGTCTACACACACACACATATGCACATTCACACGCTTAAACTTGCTGCCATCTGCTTTCACCTGCTGACACCAATCGCCTGACTCACCGACTCTGGACTCTTGGTGACACCCAGCTCTTGTCCTGCTTTCATCTCCTTGGTGGGCTGTTCCCTCTGTCCACCATTTGGCTGGTGTTCAGTCCTAGGTCACAGGTTCTTCTTCATGGTCCTCATGGGAAAGCTCTAACCAGTGCCTCTGCTGATTGCTTCGGACTCTCTCTTAAGCTCTTGCCTCTGTATCTCCACTTGGCAGCCAGATGGCTCCAGGAGGCAGCTCACTCGATCACTCTTTCAGTGAATAATTAATGGGAGCTTACTGTGTGCCAGTGGGGCACAAACACAAAATGACCCTAAATGTATTCTTGAGGTTGATCTAAGGTTCTAGATGTATTTTCACTCTAAGCCGCTCCCCCACCATATCTGTTGTCTTAATCATTTGTGAAGCCCCAACCATCCAACCTCTGCAGTACTCAACAGAGCTGTTTTCTTCCCGATGGGGCCAGGAGCCTCTCCTCTGGCCTCCCACTTGCCCGGTGTCCCTCCCTGTCATGGCACCCACGGCATTGTTGTTTGGACTTTGTAAAAACATTTAAGCTTTTAAAAAAAGAAGTCCAAGTTATATGTGCATAAACATTGTTTAAATCAACAGTCAGAGCCTATAGTGTTTTCTGGAGGCATCCACTTTCAACCCTTGGCTGATTTATCTGGTGCTTATTTATGTCCTCAAACAACAGCTTATGTTGCTGCTTCTGGATTTTTCACTTCTGGGTCTTATGTCTGACTTTTTACTACAGCGAATTAAACCATCTGTTTATGTATCTATTGCTCCTACTCGCCTCTGGGCCCTTTGGTGGCTTACATATTAATATTTCAGCACAGCTGGTGGTGCTCAGTAGAAGTTCAATAAACAGTGAATGAAGGAACAAGGTCACCTTGTCGCCGGATCTGCCCTTCAGTGATGAAGGTCCAGGCATGTGTTTCCAGTGCACTTGAGGTGTCCAGCCTCGTGAAGACTTGCACCCTAATCAAACCCACAAAACCTTTTATTTATTTATTTAATATTTGCCAGAGTCTCACTCTGTCACCCAGGCTGGGATGCAACAGCAAGATCACAATTCACAGCAGCCTTGAGCTCCTGGGCTCAGTCAGTCCTTTCACGTCAGTCTCTTGAGTAGTTAGGACTACAAGCACGTGCCACTATGCCTGATTGGTTTTTATTTTTTTGTAGAGACAAGGTCTTGCTATGTTGCTTAGGCTGGTTTTGAACTCCTGGCCTCAAGCAATTCTCTATCCTTGGACACCCAGATTGCTGGGATTACAGGCGTGAGCCACCATGTCTGGTCTATAATTTTATTTAGATAATTTTAGCCAATGCCCTACAGATTTGTGGAATTTTTTCACTGCATTCCTGATTTGTTTTATAATTTTTAGATAAATATTTTGATGAATGGACACAATTCTGAGACCTTTTTTTATAGTTTCTTGTTTTAGAGTATTGTAAGAGGCTAGAACAATTCTTTCCTTCACTCACTGAGTATGTCAGTGCTGTGAATTTTCCAGAATCTACTTCATCCAGTCTGACAACTATGGTACCTGTTTTTTAGGCCAGCATTGAGACAGGGGACCGTGTCTGGAGGATGCCTCTCTTTGAACATTACACAAGACAGGTTATAGATTGTCAACTTGCTGATGTTAACAATATTGGAAAGTACAGGTATGTAAAATAAACTAAAGGTACATTTTTAGTCATCCTTGGTTGCTAAAATGACTGTTTTCAGCATTATCCCCTTTGCAAGAAGTTTAACTGTCCAATTTCCTTTTGATGTAGAGCTTGTAAACTTTTTGATGTCTTCAACTTTTTCAGGATATTTCTCTAAGTGGTTCTCAAAATTTTACATCTTTTCAAATCAAAAGGTGCTTTTAAGCAAATGATAAGGGTCAGAGATGGAAAATGTGAGAATTCCTTACTGTGGCAAAAAAGAATCTAGAATTTATCCTTGACTATGTAGAGCCAGATCTGAAAATAGGTTTTCTGAAAGTGATTTGTGGGTTATAAGCTTGACTTTTGTTCTCTCTACTTAGCAGAAACGTAGGATCTTTGTGAAATTTCCAGTGCACTTTTACGTGGAGATAAGTAATGCTGCTTCTGTTTCTCTTCAGATCTGCAGGAGCATGCACAGCTGCCGCGTTCCTGAAAGAGTTTGTGACTCATCCTAAGTGGGCACATTTGGACATCGCAGGTGTGATGACCAGCAAGGATGAGGTTCCCTATCTGCGCAAGGGCATGACCGGGAGGCCCACGAGGACTCTCATAGAATTCCTACTTCGCTTCAGTCAAGACGATGCTTAGTTCAGATGCTCCGAAATTTATTCATTCTCTCTTAAATTGGACACTTGAGCTTCAAAAGGTTTTTAAATGGATGGAAATCTTTTAAAGTAAACATAGGCTGATATTTTAAAATGTAGAACACAATGAAATTGGTATGCCTTGATTTGGTTTTTTATTTGTGCAGAAATTTTTAAAAGTAAAACTAATATCTTGCTCAGCAAGAATTTTTAAGACATTCTATATATGATGATTAATTTTTTAAACTTCCTAATTACTTTTTAAAGTATGTGTTTTTACTTGAGAAGCAAAATTATATTTCTGATTTGTGATGCCAGGAACATAAGCAAACTTATGGTTACTGTGCATTTGCCAGAAACAATAAATCCAACTTTTTGTGCTCTGCAGTATGGCTGTGATATTTATTTTCATATCATTACAAACCTAGTAACTTCACTATAACATAATTTGTCTCTTTTGGCCATGTTATATGAACTATGTAATTCAATTGGGGCACAGTAGTTTCAATGTTAATCATCACTTCAGGTCACTCAGTGATTGAATTTATCAGTCTTTATAATAGTATCCTGGCATATGATTTCCAAAGTGAATCAGTCACTTTTAAAACTTAGGACAGTCTATGGCATACCGCCCTGAACATGCCTGATTTAGTCTGCTCTTTGAGAAATCAATACTATGCTGGGCGTGGCTGCTCACACCTGTAATCTCAACATTTTGGGAGGCCAAGGCAGGAGGACTGCTTGAGCCCAGGAGTTTGAGACCAGCCTAAGTAACATAGTGAGACCTCATCTCCTCAAAAAGTAAAAAGTTAGCCTGGTATGGTGATACATATAGTCCCAGTTACCTGGGAGGCTTAGGTGGGAGAATCTCTTGAGTCCTGGAATTCAGTGCTGCAGTGAGCCGTGATCATGCCATTGCACTCTAGCCTGGGCAACAGAGTAAGATCCTGACTCAAAAAAATAAAATGAGCAAAAGGAGTATTAACTAGCTGTTGCTGGCTGGCTGTGGTGGCTCATGCCTGTAATCCCAGCACTTTTGAGAGGCCAAGGCAGGATTGCTTGAGGCTAAGAATTCAAGATCAACCTGGACAACATAGACCTGTCTCTACAAAAAATACGTTTTTTAATTAGCCAGGTGTGATGGAGCATGCCTATAGTCCCAGCTACTCAAGAAACTGAGGCAGGAGGCTCACTTGAGGACAGGATTTTGAAGTGGCAGTGAGCTATGATTGTACCACTGCACTCCAGCCTGGGCAACAGAGTGAGACCCTGTCTCTAAGTAAATAACCCAATGAGGTAGGTACTGCTGATGGCCCCATATGACAGATGAGGAAAGTGAGGCACAAGAGAGGTTTAGTAACACACTGCTTATGTCACAGAGCTAGTAAGTGGTAGCACAGAGTTCAACTCAGGTGGCCTCTGCTGCAGCAGGTATATAGTATGCTGTAGGGCTTTTTTTCAGTTCAGTGACTTGAATGGATGTAGAATTAGAAATGCTGAAGTAAGAAACAAGACAAAAGATACCGGCAGCAGGCTCACCTCCCGGAACTATAACCAATAATAAAATTCCATTTGTGCAAATTTAGAACACAGCTCTCCTCTTTTTTTTTTTTGAGTTGGAGTCTCACTCTGTCGCCCAGACTGGAGTGCAGTGGCCACTCCCAGCCACCACAGCCTTGACCTGCTGGGCTCCGGCGATTCTTCCACCTCAGCCTTCCAAGTAGCTGGAATTACAGGCGTGTGCTACCACGCCCGGCTAATTTTTTGATTTATTGTAGAGATGAGGTCTTACCAACTTGCCCAGGCAGGTCTCGAACCCGCGGGCTCAGGCAACCCACTCACCTCAGCCTCCCAAGGTGTGGGATTACAGGCTGAGCCACCGAGCCTGGCAGTTCTCCTGTTTTTTACTTTTGTATCAAATCATCCATGAGTCAGTTCTACACATTTATTTATTATGTGGTTCTTTTAAAAAAAAATTTTGATTTTAAAAATGTGGAGTACAACTCAGGGTTAGGTATACAAATACTCATTATGTAGGTACCCTTGTTGATGAGGTGCGTCCCTCCCTTGGCAGATTCCCACTATTCCTGCCTTCCCTCACCCTGCCCTGGCAGTTTCCCACTACTGCCAATCCTTTTCTTACAGTATTAAGATAATTGCTCAAGGTCCGTTTATAAGTGAGAACATGTGACAGTTCTTTGTTTCTGTGATAGATCACTCAGTATTCTAGACTCTAAGCCCATCCAAGCTGCTGTGAAGTTCATAATTTTGTCCTTTGTGGCTGCATAATATTCCATTGTATACACTTTTTTTTTAACTTTGAAAATGTTTGACAAGAAAAGCTATTTATTATAGTTAATTTTAACATGTAAAAAATTTGCCACGTAAGCAGATATTGTATATCTAAACTGGTTTAGAGAGGGAATGGAAATGGGCATGCATGTTCATGGTATTTATTAGAACTAAAGAAAATTTAGTAAGTGTAGTTAGTAAAAATAGTTTCCCTGAGTGTCCATGTTCAGAAGTGACTTCATCAGGAAAGGTGGAATCAGAGGATTCGAACTATTGGCTTATGAAGGAAACTAAAATCCCATTCTTCTGAGTGATTCAGAAGGCCCACTAAGGCTCTGATAGAAGACTCTCTGACAAAGGCTTTTTATGGATAAAAGAACAATAAACTCTTGTGTTTATTTGTGTGGAGGCTACAAAAGGCATTGCATAGGCCCTTGATTCATGTGTTTAATATGGTCGAGATGAAACTTAGTATTTGTCATTGCACATGCATCTAGCTATCAGAAATTACACAAACCCTTTGCCGATCCTGAGATCCACGCTCTGTATCCCCAAGCTGTATCAACTTGGACTAGACATGGCAGTGGACAGCAGCAAATCCTAAACAGCAGTGACTTAGAACACAATAGTTTTAAAAGGTAAAATGTGGAAGAAGGGAATCCAAGGCCAGGGGTGTGGAATTTTGCACCACCACCATGGCCTCAAGGCTACTCCACAGTTCCAGGGAGCTGTTGGAGTTGAAGGAAGGGGAACAGGGCAAAAGGTACAATCACAGTTAGCACATCTTAAGAGTTTTCACTAGAGTCCCAAATATACTCTGCTCATATCATCAACCAGAGCAAGCGATGCAAGTGCAATGCATTTGGGGACACGTAGATTAGCTAGAAAGCCAGGTCAACAGATCTGCAAAGTTCAGCATCTCTGTGCTCCAACATGTGCCTTTGAGCTCAAGAAGTCACAACTGAATATGGTACAAATCCGTAAGCCCTTGCTATAAAGGCACAGTGCACACTGTAAGTGCAATGAGGGGGCAGGTATGCTATTTCTCGAGTTTATTGCTGCATCTCTGCTTATAGCACAAGACCTAAACCACTCTGATTGTATTGGTTGAATGAATAGATGAGAGAGAAGGCCAGGCCCAGTGGCTCATGCCTGTAATCCCAGCACTTTGGGAGGTGGAGGCAAGAGTAATGACTGACTGAGCTCAGGGGTTCGAGACCAGCCCGAGCACCGTGGTAAAACTTTATAATAAATCAAAAAATTACCTGGGTGTGGTGGCGCACTCCTGTAGTTCCAGCTATGTGGAAGGCTGAGACAGAAGGATCACCTGAGCCCAGCAGGTCGAGGTTGTGGTGGTTGTGTGTGCCACTGGACTCCTCTGGGCGAGAGAGTGAGACTCTGACTCAAGGAAAAAAAAAATTAGATGAGAAAGGAAACAATGTGATCAAAGATGGAAGATGAACTTGATAAAATGTTGGACAGCTTGACAGTTATAAGTTTTAGAATAACAGCAGAGTAAATCCAAAGATGCCCTCGTACCCATTTAAGGTCAAAAAAGTAGGAAATGTTTTCCTAATCTGGAATGAATGATATATTGATTTAACAAACATTTCGTGCCTGTCTTGTACCAGACATTGTGGAAGGTGCTTGGGTGGCCAAGGAAAGATGAAGTCTCTGCCCTTGAAAAATTCAGTTTAAGATTAGGGTAGAGTTCTGGTGTCATGTCAACCAGACAGTATGGACCTGACTGTTTCGGAGGGCTCTTTCATTACAGCTGGCAATATTCTATGGCTGTAGCTCTCTCTACCAGCAATGAGCTGTGGGCTCCTGCTTTGCAACACAATCCTAGGTAGACATTAGCCTATCATCAGAAATTACATTATGTATTACATTCCCAACCAGTTGGTATTTTTCCTGAGCAAATCATGAAATCGTGGAGTTTATCTGACCATATCTCACCATCTCTGTCTCAACTGCCCTAGTACAAGTTACCATCCTTTCTGTACTCCTAGATTACTGCCTCACTGGTCTCCCTGCCTCCACTTGTTCTCTTGTTATTTATATGAGTAGAGAGATTATTTTAAAACATAAATAACATTATGTATCTCCTCTGTTCTCAGAAGGTTACTTGTCTATGCCAGGCACTATGTTAGACCCCTACAACATAATCTTTGTAATTTTTCAAAGGCAGTGTTCTCTCACAAATGAAGAACGGGTTTTCAGCTAAACCCAAAACAAGCGAATGGGGTGTGTGTACGTGCACGCATGCTCTGCTCTAGAATGAATCCAAGAGAATACCATTGACCCTGCTCTCAGGTAACTTACATTGAAGTTAGTAAACTGGATATTAAAGGGACTTGTAAAAAAGTAAAGTGATGCCATTTTTCTTACTAATTTTTTTTTGGAAAACAGTTAGTTTCTTTTTCTTTTTTCCTTTTCCTTTTTTGAGTCAGGGGCTTACTCTTGTCACCCAAAGTGGAATGCTGGAATGCAGTGGCATGATCACAGCTCACTGAAGAGTCAAACTCCCAGACTTAGGTAATCCTCCTGCCTCAGCCTTCTGAGTAGCTGGGACTACAGGTGCACACTGCCATGCTTGACTAATTTTTAAAAATTTTTTTGTAGAGACAAGGTCTTGCTATGTATGTTTCAGGGCTCAATAACTGCGCTGGGTGATAACTGTAAAATTTAATATAATGAAAAATTGTTATCTGGCTTCTGAAGAGATGAATAAGAAAATGTGAAAAGCAGGTTATGAAAAATTAGAGCAATTAACTTTCTCTTTGATGTAGCCATAAAAATCTAAAGCGAAAAGTGCCGGACACACGGGGAGCCTCAACAATGTTAGTCGTTTCCATGACATGTTTCCCACTCGAATTCAAGGAGAACTTTGCGTGTCTAGTTCCTGCTAAAACCCACGACTCATTAAGTGTTTGTGGAGTGAATGAGTGACCTCCGCCCCCTTCCCCCCCCCCCCCCCGCCGCCTTTACCAACCGGCAAACCGCGCCCGGAGAAAGTCACTTCGCCAAAGCCACTCCAGGCGTTGGGGCAGAGTCGGGACGAGCACGGAAGTATTCTCTCTCGAGAAGGCTCACTCCACCGTAATTATTCATTCTCCTTTCCACACAGCTGTGTCAAATCCAGCCAAAGCCTTCAATTCGCAAGCTAAAAAAAATTAAAGAAAAAGCCACGCGACCATCGCGTCGCCAACAAAGCAGAAGAACCAAGCACCCGATCTCCCCCGCATCCAACAAACGTCTCTAGGCGCCGGGTCCTGCCACGTGACCTCGACCGACACGTTCGGCACGTGACCCGCGGCACCACCTACTGCGCAGGCGCAGTGGGCTTCGCCTCCGCCATTCCAGACATGGCGGCTCCGCTGGGAGGTATGTTCTCTGGGCAGCCGCCGGGGCCCCCGCAGCCTCCGCCGGGACTCCCGGGCCAGGCTTCGCTTCTTCAGGCAGCGCCGGGCGCCCCGAGACCTTCTAGCAGCACCTTGGTGGATGAGTTGGAGTCATCTTTTGAGGTGAGAGGACGTAGGGGAGTCTGTCCCTAGATCGTCCGCTTTCCTGAAGTGTAAACTGCGCGTGCGCAGGTTGGCTTCGGCGCTCCCCAGAAACCAATTTACAAATGGAGAAACTTAGGCCCAGGGAATGTAAGTCGCTTGCTTTGGGTTCTCCAGTGGCAGGCCTACCACTTAGGTCTACTACGCTTAAACGGCATTTCTAGACACGTGGCCTCGAAGTTTGCCTACCCTCCAACCCTTTCTGTTTTCCATCCCGCGGTTTCTGTCTCATCTGGTTTTTGGTTCCATCCCTGAGGACCCTTTCCTGCATCCCTGCATGTTTAGTAGGAGCGCATCCTCTTCGGACCTCAACTTTTCATTGCTGTGTTCAGTGTCCTTTCCTCTGAGCTCGACCCTTAAGCGGGTCTAAAGTATTGTGATCCAGAGCAGAAATGGACGTATTTATTTAATTTTAATTTTTTTCTTATTGTGCAGAGGTGAGGTCTCGCTATGTTGCCCGAGCTGATCTGGAACTCCTGGGCTCAAGCAGTCCTCCCGCCTTGGCCTCCCAGAGTGCGGAGATTACTGGCATGGGCCACTGCTTTCGGCCCGAAACGGACGTATTTAAAAGTAGCTGCGTGGAGCGTAAGACTAGGAGCTACGGAGGGGGGCAGGCAGGTAGAGATGACCCAGCCTCTGAGTTCTTCCCCAAGGAGTTTACTCTGTAGCAAAGAAGGTGAAATACATACTGAGGAAAGATAGGGAATGGAAGGGTAAAAGAGATGGAAAGATAGGGAATGGAGAAATTAAAAGGGAATGGAGAGCTTCCAGTGTTCTCTAAAGTGGAAGATGAACCATTCGTATGTGGAAATGAAGTAATATAGCTTTTTTTTTTGAGTTGGAGTCTCATTCTGACACCCAGGCTGGAGTGCAGTGGTATGCTCCCAGTCATCCCAGCGTCCACCTGCTGAACTCAGGCCATCCTTCCGCCCCAGCCTTCCAAGTAGCCCAACTGCAGGCGCGTGCTACCACGCCCAGCTAATTTTTTAATTTATTGTAGAGATGCAGTCTCACCAAGTTGCCCAGACGGCTCTCGAACCCTTGGGCTTAGGCAATCCCCTCACCTCTGCCTCCCAAAGTGCTGTTATTCCAGGCTTGAGCCACCGCACCTGGCCTTGTAATATAGTTTCTAATTGGAGTTATTTTTTAAATAACGTTTTAAATCCTAGTTGTGTATTTTGCACATGAATATAGTTTGTAAATGACGACATTATTGAGGTTTTGTAGACAAAATGCTTTCACTACGGGATGTACAGTAAAAGATTTGGAGATAAATGATTTAAAGGACAGAGAAATCTGTTACGTCTGGGAGGAGGATGATGCTAAGCCATAAAGAAAAGCAACGATGAGCTTTAGAGTATCATCTAGCTTGTTCTTGAGGTGTGGTGGCTCAATCATGAGCACTTGCTGAAAGACTGGCCCTGTACAAGGCTTGGCCAGAGCTCACTGCCAGCACCCTGCTACTTAAAACCTTTTAGTGGCCACTGTTGTTCTTCAGATAAGACCAAGATGTTGAGTGTGGTCTTCCGGGCTCTGGACGGTCAGGTCTCTGCTTCAGACTCATTTCTTCTTACTCCAGCCACTGGAGATTGTATCCACAGGTGCTATGTTTTCTCTTTGGGCTTCCAGGCCCATCTCCCACTCAAGCAGCATTTTCTCAGTGGACCTTCCCTGGCTTCCTTTGTAATATCACTCAGGCTCTGTGAAGTCAGAGACTACTATTTGGTCCCTTGCCTCCTCTTTTGTAGCCTGTGGTGCTAATACAGTGGTAGTAGATAGCAAGTGCGTGGTACATATTTGTCAAACAGTGAAGAAATCTATAATTTGTTGAGTGCTGGGTGCTAAGTATACCAAGAAAACAGTCCCTATCTTCAAAGATTTCATAATTGGTGGACAGTTGCCACACTATGGAATCAGTGCTCTTACAGAAGAATCCCAGGTAACTGTGGGAGCACATATGGGTGTGGCTGTTAAAGATGGCTTCCCAGAGAGTATGAAACCCAAAGGAGCATCTGGACTCTGCCAGATGAAGGGAAGTGGAACAGGCATCACCTGGATCCTCCCTCTGCTTCTGGGTGGTCACTCACCTAGTCATCTCTTAAGACTTAGTTCAGCTGGGCATGGTGGCACATGCCTATGGTTCCAGAAGCTTGGAAGGGGTTGCCTGAACCTAGCAGTAACAATGAGTGTGCCACTGTGCTCCATCCTCGGTAACAGACTGAGTCTCTGACTCAAAAAAAAAGACTTGGTTCAAAGACCACCTTTTCTGTGGACTCTTTCCTGTTTCCTTCCTTGTGTTCTGTGTGGACCTTAGTTCCACAGCCAGCAGAGGCTCATGGCACTTGCTTGCCTCTTCTTGTTTCTGTTCAGGTGCCATCCCTTGAGGTCTCTTGTCTAGCTCATTCTAGTTGCTTGGCACATGGTCTTTGATGAAAGGAGTTTATTGAACTCGTGCACTCTTGATGTGAGAGGGAACCTAGGAGACATCTAGTCCTATCCTCTCAAGAGTGGAGAAACCAAGGCTCAGAGAGGGCAAGCAAAATTGGGTTTGTGGAGATGAGGACCATCACTTAGGCCTCCTGATTTTCCAGGCAAAGACTGTATTCTAGGAATGCTTATAAAAAGCCATTTTTGTAGACTTACATATTTTCTTCTCCATACAACTGTCTATAAAGGCCTAAATCCTTATTTTTATTTATTTATTTATTTTTAAGGGAGAAGAGGGGACTAAAATTTCAGAGATCAGATTTCCTGCCACCTATCTGTTTGCCCTGCTGTCTTTGAGGAGCCACCCTAGCTTTGTTGGCCAGTTTGTGACTGGTTGGCCTGGATAGGATGTTTTCTAGTAGCCATAGGTTTCACAAAGCAAATACATCCTACCCACATCCCAGATCCAATAGGAGTTGATCTTCAAAGTAATACGCAGAATGGATAATGTGATTTGTTGAAACTGCAGGCGGGAGACTATCACTTCCCAAAGGGCCCTCATATGTAGTTAATGGCCTAAATTTGGGCCCAGGTCTGCCTGCCTCAGACCAAGTGTAGTTTGCTCGTTGCTGACAGGGCTCTGCTTTCCTGAGTTTGAGGCTTCCTTGATGTGTCTTGATTGGTGCTCCGTTAGAGAGAACTCCCTCTTTGGGACTTGATTGTCCATGGGACACCAACCTTGTCCTCTTAGGCCACCCAGTTTTCATTAACATGTGTTTTTAATGTAATTTTTTTTACCCCACAGTTGGTTTATTTTATAACATGTGTTTATTAAACGCCTACTTTGTGCCAAGGCAGTATTCCAGGCTCTAGGAGGATAGTGATGAACAAGACAAGTGAAATTCCCTTGCTAGTAGGGAATGGATACTAAGACAAAAATAATGGATATGATGCAATCAGTTGTGTGAAAAACAACAAAACTGGGCTTGGGGGTATAGCATGAGCTGACCAGGCACCATTTGGAAAGAGTACATAAACAGGACAGCCTCTCTGAGGAATTAATGGTACAAGTCGTGCAAGCACTGGTGGGAGGGCATTAGGATAATGTCTTGTTATCTCATATGCAAACCAAGGTGCTGTCAGCTCTTGAATGATTTCAAGAGAGATTATTTCTTACTCTGAAGTAAGGTTTCTAATGTTTGAATGACTTGTTTTTATTATTTTTTGATCACATAGGCTTGCTTTGCTTCGCTGGTGAGTCAAGACTATGTCAATGGCACCGATCAGGAAGAAATTCGAACTGGTAAGCATTTTGTCTTTGCAGACATGTTCTTGGCTTACACAAGATTCCTGGTTGCTGATTTGACACTTGGTGTGTTTCAGTCCTGCTTATATCCCAAGAGAATGTTTTCAGGGAATAAGATTTATGCACATAACCTCTATAGACTGTTGGCTCTTTGTTCACTTTATTAATTGACATCATATGTTCTTTTTTTTTTTGAGTTGGAGTCTCACTCTGTCGCCCAGACTGGAGTGCAGTGGCCATTCCCGGCCACTGCAGCCTTGACCTACTGGGCTCCGGCGATCCTTCCGCCTCACCCTTCCAAGTAGCTGGGATTACAGGCGCGTGCTACCACGCCCGGCTAGTTTTTGATTTATTGTAGAGATAAGGTCTCACCAAGTTGCCCAGATGGGTCTCAAATCCGCGAACTCAGGCAATTCACTCACCTCGGCCTCCCAAAGCGCGGGATTACACGCTGAGCCACCAAGCCCGACCATATGTTGTTCTTAATGGACCATTTATAATGAACTTTTCATATTGGTACTAGGCAAAGAAGATTAGTAGTGTGTGCTGCTTTTTAAAGAAGATTTTATTATTTTTTGCATGGGTGTTACTGAGAAAGGTCTCTCATGCTTCCTCCTTATCCCTCAAGTTCTGTTCCTAGAGGTAACCAGAGCTTTTGGTTTCTTTGTACCACATTTTAAATGTTCCATTTTAATGAAAATTATAGTGTGAATTGCTGGGTCTCTGGATTGTCTTTCTTGAAGATCTCACAGCTTTTGTATTAAGGTTTCATTTTCACCTGATAAAAGCGCGAATTATCTGCTATTTAATGTTGATTAACGCATGGGAAGTTGGAGGTCATTGTTATTGCTGTGTCCAAGATTAAGATTCCCAATTTATTTATGGGAAGATCCTGTTTTGATATTCTGACTATTCATTTATAAGGGAGAAATATATGTGTGTCTTGTGTTTTTCTTAATTTTAATACTTTGGTTTTTTTTTTTTTTTTTTTTTAAGGTGTTGATCAGTGTATCCAGAAGTTTCTGGATATTGCAAGACAGACAGAATGTTTTTTCCTACAGAAAAGATTACAATTATCTGTCCAAAAACCAGAGCAAGTTATCAAAGAGGTACAAACTGTTTTCTCCTCAGCTTTTAGGAAGAACAAGTGTTGCCGGGATTCCATTTATGCTTTAGACGAGATGTACGCTTTACCAGTCTGTGAGATGCAAGTTGTCAGTGTTCATGACAACCTCTAGGCAAGTAGTGGAGCTGGGAACAGTGGAGGGCAGAGAGTAGAACTTCAAATAGAGCAGTGTGATTTTACTTGTCTCATATGGTAGCTTTTAGGGGAATTTTCCTTTTCTTTCTTTCTTTCGTTCTTTTTTTTTTTTTTTTAAGTTGAATTCTCACTCTGTTGCCAGGCTGGAGTGCAGTGGCACACTCACAGCCACCTCAGCCTTCCAAGTAGCTGGAACTACAGGTGCAGGCCACCATGCCCGGCTAATTTTTTGATTTATTGTAGAGATGAGGTCTCATCAAGTTGCCCAGGTTGGTCTCAAACCCTTGGGCTCAGGCAGTCCTCTCACCTTGGCCTCCCGAAGTCCTAGGATTACAGGTGTGAGCCACTGTGCCAGCTTAAAAGCTCTTTAAAATGTGGTTTTAATACTTCATAATCTGAAATGATAGAACAGTGTTGTGGGATTTTTGTAAACAGTTGTTGAAGTGTGTTTCATATTCTTAGTGTTTTAGGTTCTTAGTAGTAGTCTTTGTGCAAGAGTTGGTTGCTGAGGGCCAGGAGGGAAAAGAGTCTGGTTTCTTTTTGGCTGCCCTTTGGTACCTTTTGAATTTTGTAGCTTGCATATTACTTTATAGAAGACAAATAAGTACAAATGAAGACTCTTAGTGTTAAGCAGACATATATCATTTGAGTTATTCAAGTAGTGGAGTCAAGCAGAGTAATGGGCTTAGTATGGTTTAATTGAATTCTCTTTGTTTTGAATTTACATCTTGGTGCTCTTAATTAATCAGAACTATATTCATTTTTCCTGAGTTTTCTCAAGACTTACTCCATCGCTTTCCTCTAGGATGTTTCAGAACTGAGGAATGAATTGCAGCGGAAAGATGCGCTGGTCCAGAAGCACTTGACAAAGCTGAGGCACTGGCAGCAGGTGCTGGAGGACATCAGCGTGCAGCACAAAAAGCCGGCCGACATCCCTCAGGGCTCCTTGGCCTACCTAGAGCAGGCATCCGCCAATATCCCTGCGCCTCTGAAACCAACCTGAGCACAAAGGCAAAGGAGTCAGCCTGGAAGCAGGCTGGTGTGTGAGGCAGCCCTGCGCAGTTTGCCGCACAGGCCTTCTTGTGGATGAGGCTTTTTGGAAGGACTCTTGTCAGAGAATGAGTTGATTTTAGTTTTTTACCCTCAACTAAAATTTTCTCACTATTTTTGTAAGCTGTTAATTTCTTGTATACTTTATAAAATGCCTGTAGCTGGGGTAAATCAAGTAATTGTTTTTTTATCTTAAGCAAAGTTTAGACTGTTAGTGTGTTGACACAGATTATTTTTTATGGTTCTTTGCTTGTTTTTCATATTTGTATGACTTTCCATCTCTGTGTGTGTGTTTGCAGTTAGATTAGTTTGTATGACCTAAGGGGAAAAAAATAGCCTGAGAATCGGGATGGGTATTTTGGTTGTAGGCTTTTTATGAAATACCCCTCTCAGTGGTAGTATCGGAAAATATGTACATATCCTGTGATCAAGACTTTAAACTACCTCAAGAAAAGGAATCTAATGCAACAATGTTTGCAATACTTTCAGAACTCTTGAGAATGAGGGTTTTTTGTAAATAAGTCAGACTAGGATTAAAATATCCTAGATTAGTATAGTAATATTACAGTAGATTCTTACATTAATGCTTTTATTTGGAGTAACTATATTTTGTGTGGTGTTTATTACTTTTTGTTTGACACGGAAGGATGTAGTGTCACTAAGTTTTGTTTCATTATGTGATAATGAATCAGTTTAATGGGGGAGACCCTGTTCTCAGAACTGTGATATTTGGGCCTTAAATGAAGTATGAGAGGTTAAAACTTACTCTGATCATCTCTTTTTCAGTTTTGTTTGCTTGTATTGTTTTTGTTTTACATTTTGGGAGAAGAAACATTTCCCATTAAGATTCTTGTTAGTGGATTTCATTCTAAGAGACTAGGGTCTTGAATGGGGCTACAGGGGGATCCTTGGCTACTTAACCGCCACAAAGAGTATGTGGTGCCTCTGCATTTAGGAAGATATTTTGTTCTTTTGTAAGTTTCGCAGGTCACTTCAGATTCTCTGTTGAATTGATGTTGGGAACTATAAACCAGTGTTTTTCCTGGCTCTCATTGGGTGAGGTTTTCCTGAGTTTATACAGTCTCTTATTAGATTACATCCCTTTAACCAGAACAAATGCTTCACTATCTTCTGAATGGCCAGTACTCTTGTGGCTCAATGTCTTGGCTTGTTTTGTTTTCCTGATCCTTGAAGGACTCTCGCGACACACGTTGACATCCACTCATGTTCTTGGTCTGGCCTGGATGTCGCCTGGTCCCTGCAGCCCCATACCACCCTTACTACTGCATCTCCAGGGCACAGGATGTATCTTTTTTGCTACCCATGCTTGGGTCTCCCTTGTGGGTTAGTGATTTGTATCTGTCTGTCTCTCCTCACTGCATTGTACACCCATGAGAATTAGGCATTATTGTCCTTAAATATACCAGGTCTGCATACCATTTGTCTTTGATACTTGCTACTCTTTTTTTTTTTTTGAAAGCAGGATTTATTGAGAGAACAGAAAAACTCTCATAGTGGGAGGAGACTCGAAGGGGTTGCTGTTACTCAGTTTTGTGTGTATGTACAGGATCCGGCATGTGGGCCTGTTTTTTACCACTCTGAGGCCAGTGAACCCCCTCAATTAGAATGTTTTAAACAAAGATTTTAAAAGTTTACATTATGTAATAACCTCATGTGAACCCAGGGTTGTTTATCTGGTCATCTCATGGGAATTAGAAACTCTGATTGGCAGCATTAGATTTCTTGATTAAAAACCTAAATAAAATGATTAAAAATTAGGTGTTTTTTCAAAGGGATTCTCAGTGAAAAGATTGTGAACTTACCTGTGTGGTGCATAGTGAAAATATTTTTTAAAATGTATGTCCCAGTTATTACCATTTATTAAATTCAAAAGTTTTTGTCAAATAGCAATTTTTCAGTTGTGTGTGTTTGTAAACATCTTGCTACTTGATGAACATAGAAAACCCTTGAGCTGCTGTCTTCAGGGAGAAAATCAAAAGCCATTCTTCCCACTCCCTGTAGATGAACCTACTCACATCTTCAGGGCAGCTTTTTTATAAGACCTCTCTTCCCACATGTGTTGTGAGTCCCAGGCCAGCTGCCTTCTCTAGGGCCTAGCCTTCTTGGGTCACTTCCACCTCTGCATCCTCTGTCTCATCTGTCTGCTGGACCATTCCCGGCAGCTTACAAGAATCCTTCACCTCAGACATTCCCGTTGATTTTAAGCTACTACCCCATTTCCTGACCCCCGTTCACAGTCTCCAGCTCTTCCCTCCCTCCCCCTCCCTGCCCTCGTGTCTGCTGGTCTTCCCTCCCCCACTCCCATCACTGCTTGTGACCCTTACTCGCCTTTCCTTCATCGTTGTATTCTTTACTTTAACTTACCCTTTTTAATATACCATCCCTTGTTTTTCCTCCTTTACCCTGCTTCTGTTGGCATTCCTGCCTGTTTGGTCTTGGGCCTCCGGAGGCCATGGAGGAGGAGGAGCACTGCCCAGTTTTTCCTTCAAAAGAGCCACAGTAAGGATTATGGCTACTTGAGATCCCGCCATTGGGGTGCTGCTGCCGTGTTCCCCCAGGCTGTGCTCATCCTGGAGCCAGGCCATTTCTGCCCAACACAGAACATTTGTAATGAGTATCTGCTCTGGTGTCCCGTCAGCCTGGCCAAGATGTCCACGGAGCTGTCCGACCTTTTGCCTCAGTCTTCCTTGTCAAGCTTGCATCATAGTCCCTTGGCTCTTGTTTCCTCACCTTTTTTCTTACATAGGTGTTTCCCCTGAGAAAGGGGAGACAAAAACACACCTGTCCCTGACATTGAGAAGCTGACTTAACCCTGCTTGGCCACATTATCTTTCTGTTGCACATACACAATCTCAGAATACTATCTTCAGACAAAGTTGTTCTGAGGCCATGATAAAGGGAGACCAAACCACCCACTTCATGATTTTATCTAAGCATATTTGGGGGGGGGGGCAAGAACATTGACCACCCACAAAAATACCAAACATCTGAGTTAAAATGAGTGACTGCAGCCAGGCTCGGTGGCTCAGCCTGTAATCCCGCGCCTTTGGGAGGCTGAGGTGAGTGAATTGCCTGACCCTGCGGGTTCGAGACCCACCTGGGCAGCGAGACCTCATCTCTACAATAAATAAAAAAATCAGCCAGGTGTGGTGGCGCATGCCTGTAATTCCGGCTACTTGGAAGACTGAGGCAGAAGGATCGCTGGAGCCCAGCAGGCCGAGGCTGCGGTGGCCGGGAGCGGCCACTGCACTCCAGTCTGGGCGACAGAGTAAGACTCCAACTCAAAAAAAAAAAAGAGTGACTGCAGCTTTTTACCAATTACAGCTTTATCCTTACTCTAGTCCCATCTTCCCTACAGATAAGATTTATTGAATACTAAGTCAGAATTGCCTCGTTTCTGACAGCATCCAGACTAGAGTGACTTCCCTCTTCCTTAGACTCTCCTTGGAATCAACCAACCAGCGCCAACATTGTAAAAGGGATTCTACCACCCTCTGAGAAGCAGCCACCCCTCTGTTCATGGTGAGCAGTCACCCTCACTGCAATAAGTGATATAAACCCAACTTGTTAACTACAGATGTGTTTCTGGTGATCTTTGGCTGGAGGTCTTGATACCCCCAATGAACATCTAGCACTTTTTTTTTCCTAAGATGACAGATTTTTATTATGTGTAAGCAATACTTTAACAAATCCGGGGGGAAACTTTTATTTATTTCAGAGTTGTGGGGTACAAGTGGGGATTTACTACATAAGTAGGTTGCATGCAGGTGAAGTTTGGGCTTCTAGCTGACCCTCTCCTCCCCTTCTAATTGGGTCTTGAGGCATGCCTCCGGAAGGACCTGACAGCTGTTGGGTGTGGTCTCAGAGAGCTGGAAGTAGGACTGGCTCGCTCACTGACCAATGGCAAGGAGGACCCATCCCGAGCAGTAAGTGAGGTATGAACAGTCATCAGCACAAGGGGTCAGCCCAGTTGCTGAAGTTTCCACAACCAGTAAAACCCTGGGAAAACATCCCCGTGGGAGGAACCTGGTCAGTGCAAGGGGTCACACCTGTGGAAGGTAAGGGGCGTACCGCACACAAGGACGGTTTAGGTGGCTGGCTATCACTACCCTGCCTCGACTCCCTTTAGAGGGATGATGAAAAACGAATCAACCATGACCTCGAGTGCCAGGGGCCTCTGTGGTTATCTCCCCGGGAGAGAGCAGACAGTAGGGACAGTAGATCAAACACAATATTGCATCTTGGCAGTGGAGGTGGGGTTGATGGTGGAGATTAGTGCTACCCTGGGAAATTAAAAAGATGCTGTAATCCCGCGCTTTGGGAGGCTGAGGTGAGTGGATTGCCTGAGCCCGCGGGTTCGAGACCTGCCTGGGCAACTTGGCGAGACCTCATCTCTACAATAAATAAAAAATGAGCCGGGCATGGTAGCGCGCGCCTGTAGTTCCAGCTACTTGGAAGGCTGAGGTGGAAGGATCGCCGGAGCCCAGCAGGTCGAGGCTGCGGTGGCTGGGAGCGGCCACTGCATTCCAGTCTGGGTGACAGAGTGAGACTCCAACTCAAAAAAAATAAAAAATAGAAAAATAAAAGATGCCAGGAAGGTGGTCCCTATCACAGCTCCATTTAATTTGCCAGCCTCACCTTTGCAGAATCCAGGTGAATTCAGGAGCATGATTTTCAGCCAAGGAATCTCAGTTGCAATTGGGTTGGGTGTTGGGTCAACACGAGCAGATAAGGGCTAAGGCACATGGCGTGCCCCCATCGATTGGATCAACCCGTTCTTTTTTACAGTTTGCATTCATGGGGAACAGATGATAGTCCTTTCATCTCTGCTCCAGGATTATGTTAACTCTTCTGCCCTCTGTCGTAAGACAGTCTGAAGAGATGTATCATCAAATCCTGTTGTTTCTGCCTCTTAACCAAATCCTGAATCAGATGATGTCTCTTCACTCCACTCTTGCCTCTAAACCATCAACTACTCTGCTCCTGAGAGCTTGATGGAATCAGATCATGCCAACTAAAACCGGAAGGATGTTTTTATCAAATTGTGTTTGTCAGTATCATTTAGGCTACAAAAAAAGAATTCCACTTACTGCTGTTAAGAGTGTAAACTGCTAGGAACCGCTAGGAATTTGGTGATATCAAACAAAAAAAACTTAAGTGTGTATCCTTGGATGCCTAACTTCAATACTCAAGGAATATCAAACAAAAAAATCTTAAGTGTGTATCCTTGGATGCCTAACTTCAATACTCAAGGAATATCAAACAAAAAAATCTTAAGTGTGTATCCTTGGATGCCTAACTTCAATACTCAAGGAATATGGCCTAAGGAAAAAAATTACAGAGGCATGCAGAGATGTAGTTAACAAAAAATATAATCATTACAAGGTAGAATCTAGAAATTTAGCCAGATTTTTAAATCACCTAGACAAAAAGAGTCAAAATAGGTAAAGGATCTCAATAAAGTCCTCACCCTGCACGAGGATTATGTTGAATTAAAAGACAGTGTAAAGTGCATTCTATTTTGTTAGTCACCAGGAGTTGCACAGTTGGGAAAATGTTTCAGTGCACAAAAGTAGAACCACTTGTATGCAGTCATTTTAAAAATACAAAAAAGCAGTCCTACAGTGCTCACTGCTATGGTCTGGATGTTGGTGCCCCCCCACCCCACCCGAATTCATTTGTGGAAACCTAATATCAGTGTGATCACAGTAAGAGGTGTGGCTTTTGGGAAGTGCTTAAGTCAAGAAGGCTCCACCCTCATGAATGGTATCAGGGCCCTGCTGAGGGGCTCAGGCAGGCTCTTGCTCCTTCTACCATGTGAGGACTGCAGCAGTTCGCCCACCTATGAGGAGTGGGCCCTTACCAGACAGCAAATCTGCTGACACTTTGATCTTGGTCTTCTCAGCCTCCAGAACTGTGAGCAATAAATTCCTGTTGTTCATAAACTACCCAATATAATAAGTAAGATATTTTGTTATAGAAGCCCACACAGACTAAGACATTCACCCTTAAAGACCAAAAAAAAAAAAAAAAAAAAATGATACTAAAAAATAATATGGTATGTTACATACATGGTGACAAATACTTGCATTTAAAAAAATCATCTTATTGGGGCCCTGTTTTGGTTAGTAATTCACCTTTAATTTGTGAGTTTGAATTTTAATTTTATTTTTTTCTAAAAATGACGTATAAGTATATAATCAGTTTCTTTTTATTTGAAGGTGATCTGATTGAGATCAATGTGAACTTCCTATTTCCAGGTTGGTCTAATTTTACCTTTCTCTGGAAAAGCAACACCAGTCACAACCATGTTTATTGCCCAGTTGTTTAAAGTTTTATTCAAAGAGCAAAGAGTTGACAGTGCATAGAATTAACATCTGTTTGTGGGCCGCCTGCTGGGCCAGCACCAAAGATTGAGCAAATATTCAGCCCACGAAAAGTTGCACTGAGTCCTGTCACATTGCTCCATTCAAGGGTAAGACAATTCAATGTGGACTGAGAGCAAGGTCAGCACCATGAACGGCCATTCCAGTTCTTTTAATCCACTGGGAGTCCATGCAATGAGGAAGCAACGCATCATGAGGCAAATGGCCCAAGCTTAAGGACCTTTTTGACTTTAAAGAACAGGCAGTCTAGAGACCTTTGGAAATGACCAAGTTGACATCGAAATTGAGACATAAGACCAGGCTAGGCATGGTTATTCACAGAACCACCTCGTGGTGGTTGATTCCAGTTCACTATTGGTGTCTTTACCATATTATTTTGCTGAATCCTTGCAAAGCCCCTTCAGAGGTAGGTGTTATCCCCTCTACAATCTGCTTGTCCTGAACCAAGGTGGTCAAAGAATTCAATCCGAGCATGCCACCGCCCATTCCTAGAAGGTCTGGTTTGTTTTCTTATTAATTGGCCTTCCTGTTTATTTTGAACTTTGTTTTATTCCTTTTCCTTAATTGAGGTTAAATGTGTGTTTTGGAATTATGTCATTTTACATAGAAACAGTTCTTCAGGTGGAGATGACAAACATTCCAAGCACAAGCACAACCACTTTTAAAGCAGACCATGGAAATCACAAATTCTAATATTCCAGAGTGGAGTGTGATGTTATGGGCACTAGAAATACAGCATGTAGGTCATTAGTAACATTGATAATGTTTTCCTCTGGGTGTTTGTTTTTTTTTCCAATAACACTGGTTTGTTTAATGTCAAGGTATTTTTAATGAACTGTTGTAACAATGAAACGTTAATGCCAGAATTTGTTTTAGCTATCATATATAAATCACATTTCAAGCAAATTATTTGGTTTAGTTCATTCCCTCAATCAAGTGATTTAAAAGAAACATTTTTTCAAGTATCTTCTTTGTGATGTACCCCAAAGATGAACTTAGAAAGAAAAGTATTTGGTGAACCACTCCTGGTGTGGAGAGCCCTGTTTTTGCTGAGCTTCTTTGGGTTGGGCTGTTTCACCATCTGGTGTCCTAAAAACAACAAAAAAGAAGTTCTTAACATGGTTTTGAAAATTATTCAGTAAACAACTTAATACCCTGCCATCTTTTCAAGGAAAGATAACTGCTTCTTAACTCTTCAAAAGATCCTGGAACATAAGCAGCCAATATTAATAGTGGGAAACAAGTTATAAAGAATGGGGCCCGGGAGGGAGTATCTAATTCTTGATTTGAAAACAGGTTCACATTGTTTGCCTTGCTATTGTTGCATTTAAGTGGCTGTATCTGAGATAACTGTGTACAGTCATCCAGTGCTACAGATTAAGAGACTTTGTAATTCCAAGATAATTCAATGAATCTTGAGAAATAATCTTAGTAATACTAGTGAAAATATGTATCTGGGCCAGGTCCTGTCCTATGTATTAAGTTTAGTCTCATATCAATCTGATGAGGCAGGTGCTGTGTTATCTTCATTTTATAGGTTGGGGATACCAAAACCCAGAGAGGTCAAGTGACTTGCCCGAGGCCTCACAGCTAAGAATGAGGACCAGAATCTTAATTCAGACCTCCAGGCCAGATGAAGAGAATCCTCCTTCTGTGTAACCCACACTGAAGTTCTCAGCTAAGTGAATCAGTGTCCCATGTCTAATCATCCATGAAAAAAGGCTTTCTGGAATTTGGTACCTGGAATAGTACCTACTCCAAAGAATGACATGATTCCCTTCTCTTATGCAATCTTCCCTTTTGGCTAGATTCCAGTTTCTCCAAGGCAGGGTTTGTTTTGCTGTTCTTTATATCTGCCCAAATTCCAGTCACTTAGCAGGCACCAGAAGCCTAATTTGTCTCTTATCAATGGGGAATAAGGGTGTCTGCCCCTCCCCCCACAACCTTGTGGCAGCTTTTGCATCTGGAGACTGGGTGGGTTTGTAAGGCCGGCCAGAGTTGGGGCTTGGGTCCAAGCTGGGTGACTTGGTTATTGGAGGGGCGTTGATCCTGGAGCCCAGATCGCCACTCAGAAAGTTCTTTGCGTAGGAGGCGAGGTTTGGCACGCTGACCACTCGGCTGGGGACTTCCTCTATCTTCTTTTTCTGTTTGTATTAAAGGAAACATTAGTGATGTGCAGGGAGGAAAAAAAGCATCATTCTAATAGCAAATAAGGCCCACCCAACCAAAATTGTATAGAAGAGGCAACAGTTTTATTTATATACTTATATGCTTTTTTTTTCCTGTAGCCTGTATGATTTATCTATAGTTAAAAGAAATAAATTTTGTCTTTGCCCCCATTTAAAAAATGTTAGATATTTTCTTACTTTCCAAAATAGCCTAAGATACATAAAACATTTTTGTAGTTAACTTAAAAAAATTTTTTTTTAATTTTAAAGATGTGGGGTATGATTCAGGGCTAGATATACAAATGTTCATTATGCACGTACTCTTGTTGATGAGGTATGCCCCTGCCCTTCCCCTGGCAGTTTCCCACTACTGCCAATCTTTTTCTTATAGTGTTATGATATTTACATGCTATTTTTTATTTACTTTATTTTATTTTTTTTGAGTTGGAGGCTCACTCTGTCGCCCAGACTGGAGTGCAGTGGCACGCTCCAGGCCATCGCAGTGTCGACGTGCTGGGCTCCGGCGATCCTTCCACCTCAGCCTTCCAAGTAGCTGGAACTACAGGCGTGTGCTATCATGCCCAGGTAATTTTTGATTTATTGTAAAGACAAGGTCTTGCCAAGTTGCCCTGGTGGGTCTCGAACCCTCAGGCTCAGGCAATCCACTAGCCTCGGCCTCCCAAAGTGCTGGGATTACAGGCTGAGCCACTGAGCCCAGCCTACATGCTATTTTTAAAAAGCATTTTCCCCTCCAGTCTTCATTTTGTTTTAAAAAACACATAGATCCACAATCTCTTATCCAGACTTCTGGAGACAGACATATTTTGCAATTCATTTTTTTTTTTTTTTCAGATTTTACAAAGCCATTTAACACCCCAGCAGGGTCTGAGTCCACCTTATCTAATGCATTAATAAATGCATTAATATTTCTGGAATGAAACTTGTATTTTGTCACAATAAGAGGGATACATAAAAACTATAAATGAGATTAATCAGTTCAAGTTAGGTTCTTGTCCTGTGAGCTATTTAAAAAACACAATTTCTTTGAGAGATTTTAGTTTTTTGTGATAGTAGATATGAGACTGGCACATGAATATGTTCATTGTAACAAATTCCAAAAACATGTACAAATATAAAGTTCCCCCTTCTCTTTTCCATCATCAGGATAGTGACACATTTTGTTTATTATGGAAGATTTAGAAATACAAAAGCCTGTAAAAATTAAAATCACATGTGATCTGTCCAGCCAGATAGAAACACTGTTAATACTTTGGACTTCTTCCTGTGGGTCTTCTTTTTCAATAAATATTCCTTTGAATGTATACTAGCCTATCAATAATCTATGGTTACTTTTAGGGAAAACAAAACCAGCAGAATTGTGTGATGCATGAAAACCAGTAGAACCAATTTACCTTCATGGAAGGGGTCAAATACCCCGGGTGAGGATTGAAAGAAAAAGATCGATTCCGATGGGACATTGCGCTGGGGAACGCTGCGTAGTGAAATCGTCTCTCTTCCTGGAAAACCAATACAACTGAGTCTAAATGAGCCTAACCACCCAGCACTGGGTTTGACTTGAAGGAGGATGTGAAGGCAGAATATGGAGAGAAGGCAGTCCTGGGAGGGAGGGAGGGGCAGTCAGTGGAATCAAGCTGCCACCACTGAAACTGAGGAAGCGGCTTTACTCTCAAGGGTTCTGTACCCCAGCCCCTCTTGCAAAAGAAAGGGCAAGCTGTGCCTTAGGAAGTTATAAGTCCAACAGTTCCTAGCATATGAAGGCAACCTACTGCAGAAAGTTAATAAGGCAAAGAAAAAAACCCCCCAGACACACAAAAGACTTCACTTTTCTTTCCTCCTTACCACATACACAAAAAGTAGAGAGGACCATACAATCCATCTCCCACTTCAGTAATTATATGGCCCATCTTGTTATAACTGTGGTCAAAATGTGTGTCATTTTCCACTTTCTTTTCTCCCCTACTGTATTATTTTAAGATTCCAGTCATTACATGTGTTGTCTGTAACACTTAGCAAATGAACAATAATTTATTGCTATCCAATTTTCAGGCAGTGGTCAAAGTATGAGGAGACATAGAAGTGAGGTGAGTGGTCAGGAGCAGATGGAAGAGAGGACATTCCAAAGAAGTAACCGACTGGCCTCGGTGGCTGGTAGATGCAGAATCAGAGGGAGTTGGGGATAATTTTCTCTTCCAAGGCTCTAGGGAGTGGCTTTGCTAGCTAGAAAGCAGGTGGTCATTTTTACAAAAGGAAAATCAGTAATAAAAGAAATTCCATTCTACTAAAATACAGATATAAGACAAGTCTTTCTAGATCTTCTCAAATTCTGTAAGTTTAAAACAAAACCAAAAACTACCAGTATAAACATCGGGTAAATGCTGTTAGACTTGGGAGTAAAATAAAAAAACACTGTTTGCCCTCTATTTTTCCATATCGGTGTTTGTAGTGAGTATGTTTTCTTTTGGTGACAGAAAAAATAGCAAAGCAATCTTAGTAAGGCAAAGTAACAGGCACCCGGAGAACTGCCAGGTCGGAGTGAGGGCCCCCCACGGGAAGTCTGCAGGCGGTCCAGGCCAGGGGCGAGGTGCCCGCGGGGCCGCCCTGACAGCCTCACCGTGAGCTGCTTGATGATCTCCTCTCGCTCCTTCAAGCGGGTCTGCAGACGGCCTATGAGCTGGAGGTCCTCGGGCCTGGACGCTCCCTTCCCGGGCTTCTCTCCGGAGTCTTTCAGCCTGTTCCAAGCAGGCAAGCGGTGAGCCCCCTGCAGCGGCGACCCGGCACGGAGGGAGAACACGTGGGCGCGATGGGGCTGCCACTGGGCGCTGGGCCTGGCAGCTGAGAGCCGCCTGGGGAGCGGGGGACCTCGGGACACCCACTCCTCGTCTGATCTCTGTCGGTGCCCCAGCCTTCAGGGCCGGGGGCCAAGGCCTGTGGGGGTTCGCAGAGGCTGCAAGAGCCGGGGATGCTGCCGGGAGACGAGCCCCGGGCGGCAAGGTGACC